TGTGAATTGCAATATAGAAATAAACTGAATTGAAATAAACTGAATTGAAAATCACTCAAGTTAGACTGTATGAACTAATGAACTGTAAAGTTCAGATGATGTGTTTTGAATTTGCGGTATTTAAATAAACTGAATTTAATTGAAATGATCAGCCACTATTTAAGTTCCCTTTTGTCTCATTAAGGAAGGTCAATTTGTTTGGGTTAGTTTTATTCTATTACAGACATTTTGAGTAGTTTTGGTTCCTTTTCCGTCTTTTCTGGATCCATTTTTGTAATTGTTACATTTTTTGGGGGGGGGGGGGTTAAATAAAAGAACCCTCTTTTTGGACATAAACGTGTGCAAGACTGCCATCACAGAGAAACTAAGGTTTGAAGTACTATTCTGATGAAAGTTGAAATACCTTAAGTAGTTATTTAATACTTTTACCAAGTTACTGTAAATCCAAGTTTCTTGCCTAGTTTAAAGAGCAGTTAAGCCCTGATCACTCCACTTTAATCTGTTCAACATTGTCAAGAATTATAAATGGCTAAAACTGCCAGAAGCCGCAAAACTAAACTGAAACACATATTTTTGATTCGTGGTCTAAATGAATCATCCCTTTCAGTAATTATGGTACATTTCTAGCTTTGTTTTGGTGGAAACAAAACTATTTCATTTGTGGAAACATTACACCTGAAAGTGTCTTTAAGCAAAGAAAGGCTGAGACTCTACAGCAACACACCTGCTGGATATCATGGAGGACGGATTTCATTTCTATCAATAAAACAAATTTAACTCAAACACTGTTTAACTTTTTGCCTGGCCGACATGTTAATCTGTTTTATTTTGTCTCGCTGCGTTCAGGTCATGTTAAGATTAAATCATTTATTTCTGGATTTAACTCACCTGCCAGAGGATGAGTGTAGCAGAGGCACACAAGACAGAGCAGGTGTGTGAGGATGTGTCCAATCATCTCCATCCAATCTGTAAGAAAGCAATAAAAGTCAGCAAACAGAGCATCATTAGTTTATGACATATTACTAACCTTATTTCATAATTTCACAGCATTTCTTGTTGGTTGTTGAGAAATAAACTGAATTGAATACAAACTCATGAGAGTATTGATGATATTCCTTTTAAACATATCTGTAGGCTAAATTATTTTACATTATGTTATTTAATTGTTGAGTTTATTCCAGATTATTAATACAAAACAAACAGGAAGGCAGAAATTATTTGTATTGTTTAGTTGTTTCAAAAAGGTTATTTCAATTGTTTTACAAATGGTTTTGCTTTTATTTTTCTTCTGTTTTATAATCTAATTTATGTAAAACTTACTTTAAATTGTCCACGTAATGAATTGTGCAAATAAATACAAATAAAATTGCCTTGCCTAAAAATATGAAACAAAAACAAATGTCAAATGAGGTTAAAAAAATAAAATAATCCTTCCTGACAGAGCTTAGTGGCTACTGTACGGAAGAGGATTAGGGCCACTGAAAAAAAAAAAAAAGTAAACTGATTTTAAAATTTTATTTCAGTTTAACATGGGAAAAAAGTCACAATTCTGAGATTAAAGTCAGAATTCTGACTGAATTCTGACAATAAAAAAGTCAGAATTCTGAGAAAAAAAGTCNAAAGTCAGAATTCTGACTTTTTTTCTCAGAATTCTGACTTTTTTTATTGTCAGAATTCAGTCAGAATTCTGACTTTTTTTCAGAATTCTGACTTTTTTTCTCAGAATTCTGACTTTTTTTATTGTCAGAATTCAGTCAGAATTCTGACTTTTTTTCAGAATTCTGAGATCAAAGTCAGAATTCTGACTTTTTTCCCATACTATACTGAAATACAATAAAAAAAATCAGTTAACTTTTTTTTTTTCAGTGGCCCTAATCCTCTTCCGTACTACTGTCTCAGTAATGTTGATGTATTTGTTTATTTCTCCGCAGCAGCAAAACTGGAGGATTTTTTATTTTAGCTTACATTTTTGAAAATTTGTATTTTAGTTTTCTATTCCTATTTTACCAGCATTTTTAATGCTATTAGAACAATATTCTAATATTTTTGCATTATATTTTATGAAATTGTTACATATAATAATAATATTGATACATTGATGCTGATTTTTGCACAGTTTAGTCAGTTAAATAACATCCTGCTGTCATTTTTTTTGCACATGTCTGTTGTTGCTCCTATTTTCCATAAATCAATTACTGTTAAAATGTCTACAGCTGGTACTGGTTTTTACTCTCCAGATACAGAGTATTTATATTGTAAAAACACTGTATAGTATAATACTGTATTTGTTTTAATTTTCCTCTCTACTATAACCTTCTGCTGCTGTAAACACCACTATTTCCCCATTGTGGAACAAAAAAGGGATTTTTTTATTATGTTCTATTCTATTCTATTAATCATCTGGGAGAGGCCCAGCCAGAGTTCAGACTTCAGCCTGATTTAAACTAAAGACTGAAGGAAAGAAGCTCTTCTAACCTCAAAGACTTGCTGCCATTATGAAAAGGGTTTGACTTCAAGAACACAGTAAAGTTTGTCACATTTGTCAAGCAGAAAATGGCTTGTTTTGTAACATAACTTTTTAATAATAAAATGTGAAAAAAATAGAAATCAAATGTTCATTTCAAAATGAAATCTCTCTCAAATTGCAGCCCCTACCACATGCTGCTAGCTCCTCCCCCTTTACCTTTCATGGCGCATACGGTAAGAACACTATCCAGGGTAGGAACAGGATATCCAGGAAACCTTCAGCCTTACGGGCGTCATTATGCAACAGAAACTCATATGAATGACGCTGGTCCAATTGGGACTACAGCCTTCAGAAAAAGAATTCAACATGCTGTCAAAACATCTTCAGTGTGAATCTATGGGCTGACGGGGATATTTTTGGCTTCCAGGAATTGTACAAAGATATTTGTAACCTGGGATTTTTTGTTATCTTGCTAAAATGTGAGGAGGTGGTTGTGGATTAATAGTTAAATAAATGAATCTCATAATGCATTCAAAACGCCATTAATAAAATGCACCAGCTTTAAAGTTAGAGGTGTCAAGTAACAATATATAAATACTTTGTTACCTTGAGTAAATATTTTGTTTATCTATACTGTAGTTGGGACAAATTTTTACTTCTTTCCTTACATTTTAAAATTAGACTTGTTAGGTTTGTTTAATTAAAGCTAATTTTCTTTATGGCTTGTTGGTATTTTAAAAAACAAAACATAAAAAAACATGTTTCTTCTAGACAATACATTTCTTTTTGGTTGGACTCAGTAATGCACCACTGTTGTTCGCCTGATACCAAAATAAATAGTTGCAAATAGTAAATAGTCAAGATGATGTAAAGTTAAATTTCACACTTTTACCATTAGTTATAAAAGTAACAAAATTAAAGTATAAGAAAATTATCATCCAGAATTGTGGAAAAATGTTCCTTTAATAAGGTAGTGCAGTAAAGCTTCTGTCCTTATTATTATTATTATTATTTTTTGCATTACTTTTACTTTTATACTTTTAAAATGGTACTTTTACTTTTTTCACTTTTACTTCTACTTAAGTAATAAGCATTGATACTTCAGACACATATGATACCATCAAATTTACTCTATAGGACGCAGCGTTGACATAAGCAAATATCTCCCCCACATAAGAGCCTACATACTGTCTGTGACCTGCCTGTTACAGCAAAAACTGGCACAGATCGGGAGGAGAGCACCTCTCCACTCCTGTCGCTACTGAATTTGAGCATTTGTCAACTCAAGTTGGTTAGGAAGGTGAACCTAAGTCAGTTCAAGACCTTTATGAGGACAAAGAGCAAAAAGATCAGCTTTCCTTAGATCATTTCTGACAATTCCGAAAACAAACAAACAAACAAAAAATTATGGACATGCAACCCACTTGTTGCAGTGGCTGTCCAGGTGATCTGTGAAGATAGTAAATATGGACCTTCTGGGTTGGTGTGGTTACACATCATATGTGCTGGATCCCCGTGGTTAACTTAACCAAGTCCTGACATACTGCGGGCAGCAAGTGAGGTAACCCAGTAACCACCGGGCCAGATGTTGGTCCATTCCTGACCAGATGTTGGTCCATTCCTGACCAGATGTTGGTCCATTCCTGGCCAACTAGTTTCTCAGCTGGATGGTTTCAATTTACCAGAGAAACCAAAGATCGTCTCTCCACTTTGAGGCTTCATTAGGATAGTTAGAGCTTTGTGCAGAAGGTAGATGACACCCTGGTTGCTGTGTCTGTCCTAAGGAACACCTGCACCATCCACCTCACAGCTCTGAGGTCGTTGCTTATATTGCCAAAGGGGGCATGCACACAAACAGATTTAAACAACTGTGTGCACAATATGGAGAAACTGGGCTTTTTGTGCAATTACAGAAAGATTTTTTTTCTTTCTAAAACTCAGAAAACAATTTTAAAATGTACAAAACGTCACTAAATTTTACTCAGCAAGGTATATTTTCATCTTTCACTCAATGGTTGCTTCGTACTCCACATCCACAGATCAAGGTACAAATCTTGACATGTTACCAAGACAGAATAGCAGCAAAAACTGCTTGGATGTGATTTTCTGATAAATCAAACTGTGTTTTCTCTAAAAACCAGACAGAAGGAGTCGGTTTGTGCTACTTCTGACACACTAATCAACAGAAATAGGTACTACAGCTATTCATTCATTCAGGGTGATGGATGTATAGCCTTTTATCATTTATTCTAAAACTGGGTGAAGAACCTGATTGTTAGATTCTTTTTTTTTTTTTTTGCACAATGCTCATATAGACTTAGACAGATTTATTTTGTCATTCTGTAGGGTTAGGGTTAACAAAAAGAAATTTCAGTTAAAACAGCTATATAAAATATGAAATATATATTATATGTATCATATATATGATACATAAAATATCATATAAACTAGATGTTAAGAAAAACATATTATCCAATGAGTACAACCAATAATCTGAAGGCAGTTCCTTTAAGATTTCTATTTAGAATTACAGTCTTTACAACTTTATAGGAAATGTATTAACATCATGATAAATAAATAACTGAAATAATCAGTATTGGAACGGATACAGAAAAGTGATAACAGCACTCCCATCAGCAGCTCTTGGCCAGCCAAGTCATTATGTTTATAAAGAGATCGGTTGATAAAGCTGCCAGTGAATTTAAATGCCATAATTGGTCCTCAGTGTCCTTTTTCCTAATGTGTTGCTTATCTAGAGGCTTAATCATGGCAGCATGGGAAAAAATTACAACCAGCACAAAAATCATTCAGGTTAAAATTACCTTAGAAAAAATCCTTCAAAAAAAATGTATCCAACATTGAAACACATTGCATACATGACAGTTTCTAAGACATGTATTAATTTTACAGAATTGTTGTACCTTACCTTATTGTTCAACAAGTCAGAGGGCTTTATCATGTAAAACTTTTGGAAATGAAACTTCCTGCAGCTCCCCTCTTATAGACGTCCTTCTCCACCACTCTGCACTGGCTGCAAGTTCAGATTGACTTTGCACCCTCTAATATCTAACTGGAGGTAGAGGAGGAGCCCACTGGACCAGCGATGCAACTCAGCTTAGACAGGGAGGAAAAAAAGGAGGAGGCAAAATTTGGGGGAAGTGAAAGTGGGGAAACCCAGAGTGGGAGAGATTAGTAGTGGTGAGTCACAGGAGAAAAAAAAAGTTAAAGACTAAAAAAACAGACACATTTCAAGGTGGGGTCTGTATGTTTTACAAAAAATCAAGGACACCAAAAAAAAAAAAAAAATAGAAAACACATTTCAGTAAATAATATCCTTACTAAATAATATCACTTACTATTTCTGCTTCCCTTCGCAGCAGAAAATAGAACCTTAACTTCTTTATAGGTATATTTTATACACACACACACACATATATATATATATATATATATATATATTTTTTTTTTTTTAGAAACCCTCAGAGTTCCCGCTCCCCAGACACCTCGGCTCTGCTAGGGGAAGACATAGTCCCTCCATCATGTCCTGGGCCTTCTCCCAGCAGGATATACCTGAAACAGCTCCTGAGGGAGACGCCCAGGGGGCATCTGAAAAAGATGTCCAACCTGAATCCTCTCGATTTGGAGGAGAAACAGCTCTTCTCTGAGCCTCCTCTTGATGACCAAGCTCTTCAGCCTCTCTCTAAGGGAGAGCCCAGCCACCCTGCAGAGAAAGCTCATTTCAGCAGCATGTATCCGGATCTCGTTCTTTCAGTCCAGATCCGGATTTCATGACCATAGGTGAGGGTAGAAACAGACCGACCGGTAAATCAAGAGCTCTGCCTTTTAACTCAGCTACCTCTTCACCATGAGAGACCGGTGCAGCATCTGCATCATAGAAGCAGCCGCACCAATTCCTCTATCTTTATCAGCAAAATATGTCCGCTTCATTTCTGGACCCCAATACACTTGAAGTCCTCCTCTTGAGCCAGGAACAAACCCCAAATGCCTTCCACAAGTCTACAAATCATATCAGGGCAAACTCCCAAGAACC